AATGCATCGTTGAAGGTCCTTAAATATTTACCAAAATTTCCTACGAAAATTGTTTACAAAAAAGTATAAGATGACAAAGATTTGTATAGGCAAATCTAATTTATCGTATTGGAACAAGAAGCCACAAAGGATATTTTAAGTTGCCCGATGTGAGACCATGTCCGGTGGTAAAAAAATGTTTACTCGCCGAAGTTAAGGTTTATTTATACCAATTATTTAAATTAATTCCAAACGCTGATAAGCAGTTTATTAAAAGCATGTTTTAAGAATTTTAAGATAAGATGCATGAGAAAAAAATTGAAGCTGGAAAAAAGAAAAAATTACGTTTTTCATTTGGTTTTTCGTTTCATATTGTTTACTATATTGTGTAAGAATAAAGTTGTGAAAGAATTGCTTTTTTATTTAAAATTCATTTAGACAAAATTTAAAATCAAATTCATTTTTATTTTGTATTTTTGTTCTATCTTTATATTTTATTTTTGTTTATTATTCTTTTATAAAAAGTATAAATGAGCAAAACATAATTCACATAATAATATAAAACTACCTAGAAAAGCCAATAAATTATATTTTGACCAAATAAAGCCAACTAAAATTAATTTTTATATGGTCAATTTTTTAAAAGCTTCTCCTGACAATTTATTGTTTATGTAGATAGAATATTATAATTTTCGCCTCGCGATATGTTTAATATCTTTTTTTACTTATTTTTTTTGTTTACATCCAAAATAAGCTGATGCTTGTAACTTTTAAGACTGTGGCAAAACCTGTTGAATACATACAGTCCAATTTATTGAATATTACTAATACCTGATAAAATTTTGTTGAATTGCATTTCTCACAGTACTTTATACTTTCTTATCTTATTCGATTGGATAACGAAATATGACTTTCGTGAAGTCTATGGTGTCAGCATTTTAACACATACCCTATTTTTATTTTTGGCTACCCACTGACTTATCGTAGCAGCGATTGGTTTTGCCAATGTCCGCTAAACGCATTGTGTATACGTAATACTTATAAGTATTAGGTTACTTAAAAACTTCAGATACTTTTTACTCCACGTTTTATCGTGAAAATTCTATATAAAATAAACCTACTAGATTTTTAATATAGACTTGTCTAGGGTTGGGAAAATTTCACTATTTGCTTGTACTTGAAATTTAACTTGAAATTTTCACGACATTTATGAAATTTTTTAAAATTTCCTAAATGTTTGAAATTTCATGAAATTTATGAAATTTATTGAAACTTTCAATAATTTTCAATCCCTTTAAGTGTAATATATTAATATTGAAATAAGCCCACTCGGTGACCATGGCAAATTGCCTCTCTTACCTCCTACCCCTCTGTAGGCCCCTGCACCAATAATATAAATAGTAAATACCTATGTTTACCACAAATTTCTTAAAATTTCCTTTTAAAATATTTTTAAAATTACTAAAACTAAGATAGATATAGCACTTTTTGGTAAGCTAATGAGATTGTGCCACTTTCATTGTTTTATATTTATATATATTTATATATATATTTATTATTTTTATATATTTTACTGAAATTTTATAAAAATGGAATAAACTTCATCAAAATTTCATGAGCCAAAGGCATTTTTTATCCGTTTTCCGATGCAATTATAGCAAAAGTAAAAGTTTAAATTAATCATCACTTTTAAGTCTGATTTAATTTACAAATTAAATTGGTAACTGAATTAAATTATTTAAATTAATTTATGCATATAAGTAACAATAATTACTTATAGTGTATTCAAATCCTAGCCGAACTAAACAAAAACGCCCAGACGCTTGATAACTCGTTCTTATTCGTCGATTCGGAATCTTTTGTAAATTATTATTAAAGGTCCCAGGGGAGGCCGCATGTAAAATTTATGCGAAATTTTTGGTAAATTGCGAAAATTTCAATGAAATTTCTGAAAGTTTCACAGGCAATGTTAAAATTTTCGAATTGAACATTTCATTTCAAATTTTTAAAAATTTCACTGTTCGAACTAAATGAAATATTTCAAGTTTAAAACTTTCAAAGTTGAAATTTTCATTTGAAAATTTCAACTGTCCCAAGTTGGACAAATCTAGGGTTGGGACTCCCAACCCTAGATTTGTCCAACTTAAATTGCGATTTTCATCAATGTGCAACCTCTGTTGCATCTCCTATTTACATGGGCGGATTTAGGCATGGGCATTATGGGCTGCAGCCCAGGGCCCCGTCCGATCGAGCCCCCCCAACGCGATGCAAATTAAAAATATATAAATTAGACTGATTAAAAAATCGACTATTTAATAGTTGCATAAAGGTAAAATATTAAGCCTGTTAAAATTTAAGATCTTAATATTACTATTAAGAGGCCCGTGATCGCGATTTTCTATTTTTGATTTAAATAGCATGAAAACAAATAACTTTGGAAATAATATATCTTTTGAACGAATTAATGAAATTAAATGATTAAAAGTTAATTAATTAATTAAAATTAAAAATATTATTCTTATAGATTATTAGTAAACGCTCAACAAAAAGGTCTCAAATTATTTAAGCTAAAAATTATGATAAATTTAAAGTTTTTCTTACTTTTCCGCTAAAACTATCAGACTAATAATACAACGTTAAAGGACTTTGTTAGAATATTTAATTTGTCAGAAAATTGTGTAATTTTTTAATTTTTTAAACCAAATTAATATTTCTGTTTAAATACTAATTAATTAAAAAAAATATATCAATTTTATCGCAAAAAATATTTGTATTTAAAAATAATTACATATTTTTATAAAAAATAAAATGATCTACAAAAAATGTATGATCATTGTCAACATTTTGTGACAAGTCTGATGTTTTTTTCCGGGAAAGTAAGAAAAACATAAAATTTGCTATGAATTTGTCCTAAATATTTTTTTAACGAGTATATTTATCATAAAATAATACGTAAACTTTATTGTAAAGCCTTTAGTTTTATAAAATAAAAGTTGTAATCATCCATTAATCCGTTAACGAGTGAAATAACTCTAAAATAAAAAAATCTCATATACCTACTTACTTTAAATGTAAAATCTCAAATATCAACCAATAATATTAATGGGTGATATTTTAACACACTGAAAGAAATATATACTAAAGTTAAATAAAAAAATAATTAGGGCAAATATATTTTATGTTTCATATATAGACTACCACATACATTGCTAAAACAAATATATTCGTTTGGTTAGCAACCTATTGCTGCCCTAGCAATATAAATGGTGTTTCTAGCAATATTTTTTTGCTGTAATTCACTTATAGTTTACATTTTATAGTAAGGGTAAGTTTATTTTTATTTAGATCTAACATATCTTCTTTACAATAAATGTATTACAAAATTTACCATACATTCATAATAAACAGTAGTATAAATGTGTAAAGCACTAGTATAAAATTTTTAGTATAAATTTGTATTTACTTTTAGCAACAAATTTCTTTCAGTGCAGGCTTATGACTCATAAGTTATGAGGCTATTAAATTTTATAGAAAAAAAATAGTCGATACTGCAATATAAAATAATCTTTTTTACATATTATAAATGCGGCTAGCAGCTAAACAAAGCAATTTTTATTTGGGTGAGTTGGGTTAAGTCGAAATATATTAAACAAAAAATTGCATTGTACAGGTCTTATCCCGACACCTTTTATAAATGCTAGAAGGGTTTATATTTTATACAAAATAAGTGTAATTTTTTTCTTGTTTTTTAATTTTGAATTTGAAATTTGTTGTTTTGTTGTCTGTACAATGTACAGTGTACATTAGGGTGATTCATTTCCTCAAAGTTTTTGTTTTCTTCGGTGCTCAAGCAAAATCTTAATCTGCATATAGAAAAAAAAATTCTCAACAAGTTTGAGCTCTTAATATAAATTTTAAGTACTTACTGTTTAAATTTAAAGTTTTACCGTTTAAAATGCATGTAAAAAATATATTTTTTTTTCAAATTTCTAATGCTTACCCACCTTTGACAATATTGCAAATCGGTTTAATACACCTTATGGGGAATTTCACGCTCTTTAAAATTGCTTTTGAGTTTTTTTTTTGTAACTCGCATTTTTCACCAGTAGGAGTCGTCAAAGGACAGTTTTTGAAAAAAATCGGTTTTTTTTAAATTTTTTCTAACAAACCGCAAAAAGTAGGTAGAAAAAGTGTTGAATCATAAAAAAAAGTTATCCAACCAATATTTAATGAATTTACAGCCATTTTTATAACTGAAAACGTAAGAAATTGATAATTACCAACTCATAATGTTATTTAGATTGATTTTTTCTATTTATTATCATTATATTTCCCTACACTAAGAAGTTTTTTAAAATTATTGATTTCTCACTTATAATGAATATGAAATCAACAGATAAATTCATAAAAAAATATGTTACATAACTTTTTGTATATTCCAATTAAAGTTTTGTTGTTTTTTTATGAATTTATGTGTTGTTTTCATATTCATTATGGGTGAGAAATCATAATAATTTTAAAAAAGTTCTTAGTGTAGGGAAATATAATGATAATAAATAGAAAAAATCAATCTAAATAACATTATGGGTTGGTATTTATCAATTTCTTACATTTTCAGTTATAAAAATGGCAGTAAATTCATTAAATATTGGTTGGATAATTTTTTTTATGAATCAGCCCTTTTTTCTCACTACTTTCGGCGATTTGCTCGAAAAAATAAAATAATAAAAAATAAAAATATATATTTTTTACATGCATTTTAAACGGTAAAACTTTAAATTTAAATAGTAAGTGCTTAAAATTAATATTAAGAGCTCAAACTTGGTGAGAATGTTTTTTCTTATATGCAGATTAATATTTTGCTTGAGCACCGAAAAAAACAAAAACTTTGCGGAAATGAATCACCCTAGTGTACATATATAATTATTGATAGGCCCACAAAGATTTTTAGCCCAGGGCCCCCAAAGTCAACGGTCCGCCCCTGCCTATTTAGTTTATTTTATGGAATTCGAGCTCCTTACCTTATGACCATGACAGGCAGAAATATGTTGGAGAGTATCAGTGACCCGTAAATGGCTGCCAACGTGAACGTGCCTAAGGCGGCCTCCGCGTTCACGGAGCTCTGCAGATTCGACGCGCCCCAGAAAGCGGTGAAATGGATCATGAAAGCGAACCCGATCACGATCACGTTCTTCCAGATCCGGGTTTTTTCGCCGGGACCGAACTGATCGGCATCGGCGCCCTTCTCGTCCTGTCCGACGCGATGGAACTTCGAATCCATTTCCTTTGGATTCCTGCAAAAAAGGAAAACACATTAAAAACTTGTTAGCGGGAATAAATTACAAGGAGATGACGTTCGTTAGCTGAGCTACTAAATATTAGGGACTTTATTAAACATGAATATTAATAAACCAATCAAATATATAACCCAATTTTTCCAAAGCGTGTTTTTTAAGTACAAATTGATAATGTTAGACCGATTAGTTTAAGGTAGTTGTCGTGCTGTAAGCATACCTACTATCAGAAAATTTTAAATTTTTGTATACTTATTAAGGACATGACAATACAATTATCCTTAAAATTTTAAGTCGATTGACCGTCTATAACCCAAGATAAATACAATTAAAAATTGGATAATTAACATGGATTGTATACGCTTTCTGTAGTTCTGTACCAGTTTCTTAGTTATAAAAAAACTAACTGTCAGAAGCTTTAAAAAAACTAACAGTGTTTAAATGTATTTTTGCTGAGTTTAAAAAAAATAATTAAAAATTTTTGACCGTCTAATTGTTTATAAATAACCGTTTAAAGTTAAAAAAAAGTATACATCACTAGTGTCAGATAAAAACAACTTGGCAACCCTGTACGCGAGTATAGATATATATATATATATTAGGGTGTGCCAAAAAAACTCGAAATAGTTTTTTTCTTGCTCTCCACCCAAAATATCGTAGAATATGTCCGAACAAATATTCTGTTAAAAGCGGAGCTCATAATTTCAATTTTAAGAGGTCCCTCATCGAATCTGAAGTTTTGCCGCTTAAATAGCACAGAAAACTGACCTTTTTACCTTATTTATTCTTGCAACCTAGGAAGAAATTTTTTTTCATAAAATCCATGACCAAATCTTACAAAGCATTAAACTTGGACGAAAAAATCTTATTAGGCCGAATTTCTATTTTCATTATTTAATTTTTTACAGAGCTTTAAATTTAAAATTTTACGTTTTTTGCCTTTTTCAGCTAAACTATTGAAGTTAGACGAAAAAGTCAAATGGTAATTTTTTAGCTTGTCTGATGGACCACAAAAAAGTTTCAGGCGAATTTTTTATATCGTCAATATTCTAAAAGTTACAGGCGTATAAAGTCATCATTTTTGTATTATTATCTTTAAATTTAAAGCTATGTAAAAAATTAAATAATGAAAATAGAAATTCGGCTTAATAAGATTTTTTTGTCCAAATTTAATGCTTTGTAAGAATTAGTCATGGATTTTACGAAAAAAAAAAAATCTTCCTAGGTTGCAAGAATAAATAAGGTAAAAAAGTCAGTTTTCTGTGTTATTTAAGCGGCAAAACTTCAGATTCGATGAGGGACCTCTTAAAATTGAAATTATGAGCTCCGGTTTTAACAGAATATTTGTTCGGACATATTCTACGATATTTTAGGTGGAGAGCAAGAAAAAAAAAAAATATATATATATATATATATATATATATATATATATATATATATATATATATATATATATATATATATATATATTGGTTGAGCATAAGCGACGTTGCAGGATTAAAACTTATGAAAATATTTGAAAGTTTTACGTAAAGGTAACGTCTCCAGGGTACAGTCTTGCGAAAAAATTATGAATCACTTAGCTACAAGGTCGTATACTTTTACGGTGCGTATAATCTAAAAATTTTTGACAATAATGTACCACGACAACTACCTTAAGGATTTTTAAGATTATACGTAAATATAAGTGTTAGTGTAAACCTGAAGATATTTTGTTTTATAGCATCACTAAAATAAAATTTCTGCTGTTTATATACAAAATATAATTTAAAACAACTATTTAGATAGCGATGTAACATGTAATTACAGTAAATTACATTACATTGCCACGATATGTCGACATGTTAATTAGTTTGATTTAGGGTGTTTGTAGAAAATATACAGATAGATTCGTTTTAACAGTAGATAAAATAATAGTCATTTTTTGTTGCAAAATTGTCCATAAGTATACAATTTTTGACATTAGGTATCTAATTTGATAATGAATTCTTGTTTTATTAAAAATTAAGGATAACGGATACTAAGGTAAATTATATTGTAAACTGTATATTGTATCGACAAAACAAAATTTTTTCTTTGACTTGGATGGAGTTTTTTCTTTTTATCATATAACATTATGAAGGAAAATATTTAAAAAAATTTAAAAGGTTGTTCCCTGGTAGAAATTAACGTTTACCTACATTCAGACAACGTTGTCAATTTGTATAAAAAATTGTTATACTCGTAACGTTGCTTGTGTGTATGATTTTAAGTGGGAAATACGTAGTTAAAACGTTGCATGAAAACGTTTTTTGAATGTATGATTTTAAGTGGGAAATACGTAGTTAAAACGTTGTCTGGGAAACGTTGCAAAATTGTATTGCTTGAAACGTTGTAACAACGTTCTAAAACCCACATTTAGCAACATAAAATTATTTTAAGTCCCGTCGAGAAAATTTTTAACGTGGATTTTTGTAAAATTTTTAACCTTTGTAACATTAGTTATAAAAGTAAAATCAAACTATGCAATACATTTTTTAAAGTCATAATATCAAAAATACGACCGAAATACACAAAACCCACTTTCAAACTACGTTGTAAAATTGTATGTTAGAAACGTTGCAGCAACGTTCCAAAACACACATTTAGCAACATAAAATTATTCCCGTCGAGAAAATTTTTAATGTGGATTTTTTTTAAAATTTTTAGTCTTTGTAAAATTAGTTATAAAAGTAAAATCAAATTTAACTATGCAATACAATTTTTAAAGTCATAGTTTTAAAAATAAGGCCGAAATACACAAAACCTACTTTTAGATACCTAAAATTATTATACTAGTTTCAATAAAATAAAGGTTTACTATCGTAGTTAGGTGATACATATATGGAACAACAGAGGTTACACCATAGTATTATCACAGAATGCTGTGGTATTATTTCTATGGGTTACACGGAACAAACGAAGAAAAATTCAAATTCTTCCGTGTTTTTTGTAAAAATAATTAAAAGATAAGGTAATTTTTATCTGATAGGGATGGCAAATAACTTTTAGTAACCTAAACAATCACCACAATTTGTTAGTGTTTTTTTTAAACAGTTGCTTTTTTCATGGATTTTTAGGGTTATTTGGAACGATGCCTTATGTAAAATAAGTTTTGTTCTGTGACAATGCCTTAAAAGCATAAACATGTTCCTGGAACAGTGTATCAAAGAAATTATCACCCAGAAAATATTGAATAGGCCGTGGCAGAGGTGATAAACAATCGTCTATCCTTTGTGTAGATTGCAAGTGTAATGATTACATCTGCCACAGATGATCTGCGGATAATGGATAATCATTTGCAAGACAAGATACAAAAGAGTGCAGTCATATCTAAACCACAAAGCAGTGATAATTAGTTGTTTTAAAGAAAACCTTCCTTGCAATGACTGGCTAAATTCTTTCCGGAGGCAAAAATTGTGATTACTCAAAGGAATGCTAAAAATATAAAAAGATCCAGAGCAGAAGTTCATGATGATGTGATAAACCAATATTTTTTCAGAAGTAAAGGAAATAAGGGATGCTTTGCCAGCACCTGGTTACCCAGAGAAACAACAAAATGTTGTGAAAAAAGGAAACTCAGAATAGGTATTAAACTATTTTTCAACTTTTCTAATGTTTGCTGACACTGGAGGAGATCATTTACCATTGTGTGTTGGTTACCAGCCAAATCTTTTAGATTTTTTTTAACAATCCTCAAAGGTTCTTAATAATTTTTATATTAATAAATTATATTCATATGTAAATCAATTTTAGGGCACAATCTTTTGCATTTAATAAATAAATTTGTATACTATACAAAATCAATTTTAAAACTTTCAAGTGTATAAAAAAAATATAGGCAAAAATACTATTTTTGCTTGTATTTTTTCCTTTTAATGCTTGTGCTCTAAATTTTTATTCAAAAGCAAAAATCCTCACATATTTGTAATTGCTAAAATTTATTTTGCCAAGCATCAAAACCCATAATGAAAATTAAAAATTTGTGACTTTAAACTCACCTTCATTGTTAATTGTTTTATTTAGACTTATACAGGCTGTTATGTAATTAATGTTATATATTGAAATACTGAATACCTTTTGACAAGGAATAAAGGAAAAATATTTAAAAAAACATTTTTCCAAAGATAAAGAAAAAATATGCATTAGAAGTTTTTTATATTTTTTGTGATACGCCACTGGTTACACACTTATTTATCTCTGCACACCTGTATTTTGTGAGTACATAGATACCAACCAACAAAGTAGCTATGCGTTGCCAGATGTAAAAAATTGTTACTAAAAATTTTTCTTGCAAAAAATAAATAAATACAAAAAAACTCAATAAATACAAAAGTTTTATACCCTTAAAGCTCTAATACCCTTCTGTATTTATTTACTGATCCAGCTATTAGCTTAAGCAATGATTAGAAAATTTAGTACCTTTAAAATTTGAAATCCATAACCACAAAATTAATTTTTTCATCAGTTTTTTTCTCTGTTTACTCAGATGAAATTGGGACCAGTTCACAGGTTAAACTTTAAACATTTAATTTGTGTAAATAAATCCAAAAGCACTTCCCTTAGTTAAGATATTTACAATTTGAAAACATAACCTAAAATTTAAAAGAAATGCACTAGATTCTGTCATAAAAGTTGGCAGATTTTGTTTGAATTTACCTTCAGTACAAAAATGAAATAACCAACAATTAATAAAAACGCCAAATTGACAATTTGCATTGTTAATTTTGTCATTTTTGTAATTAAGCTAAATTTAAACAATGTTTGTCAACTTTTTTGAGAGATTTTGGAAACACTGTTACCAACCATAACATAATAAATCCACCAGATTAACCTAAAGTTCCTAGTCGATCAGTGGCATACTTTTTGGTAGGATAAAGGTTATTATAAATTATTTTTAGACTTTGGAATTTAGAAAAAAAAAGTTTCAGGTGCTTCTTTATGGACCCTAAGGAACAACCCATTTTAATATATAACATTAA